CAACTTATTGATCGACATTCAGCACTACAAACGTCGCATAAGGAAGATTCCGACCGCATTCCATTCACTCTCACGTTTCACCCTCACAACCACTCAGTTAAATCCATCATTCTTAAAAACTTTAAATTACTTCAAAACGATCCAGAGACAAGCACTATCTTTTCGCAGCCTCCGCTCATTTCATTCAAACGCGACAAAAACATAGGCAATTTTTTGGTCAGAAGTTCTTTTCAGACTAATGACCAACCAGGCACTTTTAAATGCGCTCGTGCACGATGCAAAACGTGTCCTTTCATTCACAACACTGATAAAATATCGGGACCTAAACGATCCATTAAGATCACCGATCACTTCACGTGCACCTCCGCCAATGTAATCTATTGCATAACTTGCACTTATTGCAAAAAGATATACATCGGCGAAACAGGCAGAAGACTAGGTGACCGATTCCGAGAACACCTTCGAGACGTGGAAAGGAATGACAAGGACACATCGAAACCAGTCGCTAGACATTTTAATTTACCTAATCATTCTAAGCAACATATGGCAATCTGCGGTCTTTCCTTGCACTTAGGTGGCACGGAAAGCCGTAAAAATCTTGAACAAAAGCTCATCTTTCAAACCGGCAGTCTAAATCCCACAGGGATCAACGAACGCTTTTCATTCCACTAATTTATTCATGTTTTTCTCGTTGCCATGCTCCCACCAATAACGTAGCTCCATTTTCTGCCTTTAAAAGCACACACAACCCACAATTCCTCTATTCGCTCCGACGAAGGGCTAACGCTCGAAACGTCAGCTTTTGTAATCATTACGGTGGCTAATTTACCATTTCAACTTTGTTGATATATCCATATTACACCTTTATTTAGCCTTAAAAGGTATATGCCGCTAATTAGGGTCATAAATAGAGGGAAGAGTCAGATACGTTCACCCAGCTGTTTCGTTAAAACTTGGGGGAGGGTAGGAAATTTTTAAGGAAAAAGCCCTGAAAAAAGAGATTAGGGACAAGTCAGAAACATGGTACAAATTTTTCGAGATGTTACCTCTTAATTGGGCAGTAAAATTGTTCTTGTTTGCCTTTAAACTAGCTTTCTTCTTAGGTGGAAGTTGGTGACCCTTTCACTCCCGTAACCGCATATGCTATTCTCCTTACAGTCTGCCATACAATTCTTATTATGTTGGTTTTGAGAATTTGGTATTGGATCAAAAAATAATCCCCTAATTGATATTTTTCTTTATCCTCACCTCTTGTCCGCTTGATGTTGTATTGATATTGTAAGGAGAAATTCTGTCTTGGTCACTCATCGGAGTCAAATGGTTAAAAAAGTGTTGGTGATGTGTGGCAGTGGGCAATTACTTTCGTTTTTAATCCTACCTGATATTATCTATCAGAGTATGCTAGACTAATGAATAAAGGCTGAAAGTTTCTAAAGAAACTGTCGTGCTGCGTTGGTGGGGGTAACAAAGTAATTGGTTATATCAACTAAGTAAATTGGCCACCGTATCGAATAAAAGAGCTGACGTTTCGAGCGTTTACCCTTCGTCAGAGCCAATGGAAGAATTGTGGGTTGTGTATGTGGGTTTATATGCAGAAAGCGGAGCTACGCCATTGCTGGGAACATGGCGACGAGAAAAACACGAATAAATTAGTGGAATGAAAAGCGTTCGTTGATACCTGTGGGATTAAGAGTGCCGATTTGAAAGATTAACTTTTGTTCAAGAGTTTTGCAGCTTTGAAAGCCGCAAAACTCTTAAACAAAAGTTAATCTTTCAAATCGGCACTCTTAATCCCACAGGTATCAACGAACGCTTTTCATTCCACTAATTTATTCGTGTTTTTCTCGTCGCCATGTTCCCACCAATGGCGTAGCTCCGCTTTCTGCATATAAANAGTGGAATGAAAAGCGTTCGTTGATACCTGTGGGATTAAGAGTGCCGATTTGAAAGATTAACTTTTGTTTAAGAGTTTTGCGGCTTTCAAAGCTGCAAAACTCTTGAACAAAAGTTAATCTTTCAAATCGGCACTCTTAATCCCACAGGTATCAACGAACGCTTTTCATTCCACTAATTTGTTCGTGTTTTTCTCGTCGCCATGTTCCCAGCAATGGCGTAACTCCGCTTTCTGCATATAAAACCACATACAATCCACAATACCTCCATTCGCTCTGACGAAGGGCTAACGCTCGAAACGTTAGCTTTTTTATTCGTTACGGTGGTCAATTTACTATTTCAACTTAGTTGATATAACCAATTACTATGCTAGACTTAACTGAGTAAAGTCAAGATTCCAACTTTTTATGTCTAGAATAGCGTTTCAAAAAGACTGGGTTTCGTCTTAGCCGAGGTAATCAGAGAAAAGTTTTTAAGATTCCTCACCAATACTCTCGAGTCCCACACCTCGCAAAGTCGTCGATGGACTATTTGCCCTTCCTCTTTCTCCCCCCTCCCCGCCCCCCTCCACCCCCATTTACGACACACTTTCTTAAATAAAAGAAGAAAGGAAACTATTGACATGGCAGGCGCAGATTATAAAGCGAATTAAAAATTTACTACCTATTAGAAAAACAAGAAAAGAAAATTTAAGAAAAGATAAAATATCAAGAGAAACATCCTTTGAGAAACCTTATACCTAAACCGAAGGTAACGAAATACAATCAAAGACACGGATCTGGTCACCGGCCAAAATTAAACACGAATAGAGTACAGAATTCCAATTCTTATCGACTAATTTTAAATATAACCTAGCTGTGTCAGTGGTAATTTCTTTTGTTGAAATTTTTTGTAACATAAAATAAGTAGTTTCTCATCCTATGGATCAATAAAGACGATTACTATTATGAAAAAATTATTATATTTTACTACAGTTTACCAGAGTACACTAATGTTTGGATAAACAAAGTGTCACACAACTACTACTACTAAAGGGAAGGAAAAAAAATGTTTTTACTTCTAAATAGGGTGCACCCTGTTTCTTAAACCTACTAGACAATACAGAGGGTTAAGAAGCAGAAATAATAAGTTAAAACAACGATGACTGAGTTGTAACAAAATACTTAAAACATTATGATGCGGTTTAACAAACCCATTGTACTCCACCTTGACAAGAATCTATCGTACCACTTTGAAGCAAAACAAAAGCCTAACTAACCTAAATTTAATCGTTACCTTAAATAAGTAGTAAAGTCACTTTGACAATGTTACATCCAAACTAAAACCACAGATGACGACCGCTGTTCAACAAGCCTTTGTAACAAGCTCTTTCCAGCAACGATGATCATGTGGAAACTATTCTTTAGAGCACCACTAAAAGATTAAATTTTTATTACAAGGGCAACCCGATAGTGCTTATATTTTTTTATGAAAAAATTAAAGAGCTCTCGCATGACCAGCCCAGTAAAACGTATCTTTCTTGAAGCACTTCAGAGCTACAGCAAAATGGGAAAAAAATTCTAGCCATTAAAGTTCCGTTCACGTGTCAGTGTTATGCGCGGGAAAACGCACGCGACAAAACCGCAACACAGCGGTCAAACGTAAGGCATGCGTAAGGGGATCAACTTAACTGGCCGCGCACCAAATTCCCGCGCAAATTTTCAAAGGAAAATATATATGAAATAACCGCTGTCGCGCAAAATTTCCGAAAAAAAAATTGGAAGTCTCATGAAATTCTGTTATAGGAAACAACAGTAGAGAAAAGGAAAACTCGACACTTTTCGCTTATTAAGTCACCGGTATCCTGCTAGTTTATCAGTTTGGTTTAGAGCTTAACTAAAAGAGTTACACGGTTTTCAAACAATGCCATTTACTCTCTTGGGTGTTTGTCTATAAGACAATTTGGTTCTGACAGCCTGAAAGTCCGCCACCTAGCCTCTACAACGTTCCGAATTGCGCAAGAGTTTGACCCTTGTCTTCAAATCAGTACGTGATCGGTTTTTCATCTGATTGGTTGGGCAGGTTTTCCTTAAGCCTCTTTTAACCAATCACATGAACAAACCGCTTTAAGCGAGTTTCTAAATCACAATAACTTGCTCAAACACGTTCCTCGACACGTACATTTTCTGTATTAAAAAGTAATCGGCGCCCGCTCATCTTTCAGTATTTAATCCACAATTTCGCTCCAAGGAGAAGGAGTGCGACCATACTGAAAGGTAAAACATGAAAATTAGGTATCAGGAAAAAGGTTTTATTCTGCAGTTTATATTATCTTTTATCAGAGTAGCACTTGTTAAGAAGATGAAGCTGACAAAGCCCTTTATGTCTGGTATAAATTCCTCTCATTATCATTAAGGCTCGTGATAATATTCGTGCCAGCGAAAGAAGCGAGCGTGCGATAGGTTCTGTGAGGGGTCTGGCACTAGAAATTTCGTACCACATGGTTGCCCCAGTCATACGTTTTTGAAATTCCCCGACGTTTCGCTGACAAAAGTCAAATTTCCTTGTCCAACGGATTTAACAATTTCACAAACGGGTCCTGATAATGGCCGCCAATTTCCTGTCACACCCATCCACTCCACCTATACATTTATGCTTTCAGCAAGTCACATATAGTGTACCCAAATTGAAAGAAATGATTAAAATTTTCTTGGAAACCAAAAATCAGCTTTTCGTTCAATTTCAGCATTCTATCAATCCAAAACTTTTGATGACCGTAAAACGTACGGAAGAATTTAAAATGTTGGAACTATTGAAGATAGATGAAAAGGAAAAGGCATAATTTCATTCACAAATCAACTTTAACTTGCATTGTAAACACCAATTTAAAAGACTTGGTATAGAAAATAATTACTACGATTAAAAAAAGAGAATTTTCTCGTAAGCCTTATGTTTCCATGTTATGCCTTTTTCTATGCTTTGCATAAACGTACCTGTATCGCAGTTAGCTCATCGTAAAATCTCTTAGTGACTTCTAAGTTATCCATGGTGGGAATCATAATATTCTAAACAACGACGAAGAGTGTTACAAGGACAAATAATGATCACAGGAAAGGAAGGACCTTTAAATAATAGACAGAAAAGGAAATAACCATAACAGGTTGCTTGGAAAAAAACGATCAATGACCGCTACCATTTGAATTGCGCAAATACTTTCGCCTCTTCTGAAAGTTACGGGTCACTTCGCCGACATGTCAACTCGCCGACATTACTAGTCAAATTAGTCAACTGGCCTTCATCATTTGCCAACTCACCGACACCAATAAGGATGTCGACGAAGTGACCAAGGATGTCATTGAAGTGACAGGTATCTCGGCAAGTTGCCCAAAGACGACTGTCAGCCAGTTGACCAAAGATGACTGTCGGCCAGTTGACCAAAGGTGTCAGCGAGTTGACGTGTCAGGGTAGTGACCAGTTGTCTTCTGACTGGTGTTGGGATTCAAATTTCAAATGTGCTCCTTATCTCTTACTTGTCCCTCGTAAAGAATTCTGTTCACTGGACAAACCACACAGGCTGTTCCCGCTCCAAACATTTCCTTTATCTACACACAGAGGATAAAACAAACAGACATATGAGTGGCAAATGGAATAAACAATAGGGTTAATGATCGCGGACATAAATATGGTTTGAGCCCGACTCAGAATCATGTTTGCCCGAGCTCTTAGGCGAGGGTTAAGGTGGCTCTGGGAAGGGCCCAAAATATATTCGTGCCCATGAACATAAACTGTATTAGTATAATTACTCAGGTGATTATAGAAATTCTCGCGCTCTTATTGGCCGAGAATGGCGTCATATTCCGCTGTAATCACCTCCGGCGAGGTGATTATAGTTTCAAAATGGCCGCCTCGCGCTTCGTCGATGTGTCTGAAGAGGAAATTAATTTAATGAAAGAAAAAATGCCATTCCGAGGAAAACCAAACACGCCACAAAGTTTGGAATGACACTCTTCAAAGGTAAGGTGTGAAAATTGTGCTGAACGTGACAACGAAACCATTTAAATTCTCGTGAAAATTTTGCTTATGTCGACATGCATGAATAAATCGAAACAACTACATTAATTTTCGCAACACTTTATTTACTCAACAGAATGGTTTCAACAACAAACCGAATTTACCACTGACGTTAAGGCAATGGAGGTCAACGAGATGAATAAACGTTTGCCACAATTTTACGTCTCAGTCAGGGGGAAAGACGGGACTTTTTACAAGAAAAATAGTCTTGTCCGTGCGAGCGGCTCTCGCTCAGTTGTTCACTGACGCGTGACAATGACAAATAAAATTTAACATTCCTTTGCTTATTTCTATAATCACCTGTGTAATTATACTAAAACAATTATTCGCCTCAGGCTCGTGACTATACGTGAATAATTGTTAGTTATTATTATTATTATTATCACTCTGGAGGGGATTACGGAAATATGAACTGAAAAAAAAAAAAACCAAAAAAAAAAAATTAAAATAAACAGTCTGGGCAATCGCGTTAGAGTGCTGGCGGGTTAAAAGCCAATAAAGTGATTTAGCACCACGTTTGCGTGAAACGGCAAACGTCAGCTCGCCCCTTTACGTTTCGCGTAAAATAGCGTAAACTTTGCTGCTTTAAATTCATGTCATGGTCAATTTGAAGGCGCCCTTGTATGACTTGCAAGGAACAGTTTTGGTGCCTTTTTTCCGGCAATTAATTTCTTCTCTGTGAGAGGAAAAGTGAAGAAAATCTTACGTACACGGCAAACGCGTAAAAGGTTACTTTCACGTAGAAACAGCAAAGCGCAACCAGTAAAAGTGAAAAAATGGCGGGAAAAACAAGGTCACGTCAGTGGTCGCTCTGGTTTTTCACGTTTCACGTAAACGCGGTGCTAAGTCTCTAATATCTCTACTTTAGCCCGCAAAGCGCGCCACAATTCCTGAAAAAGTGATAAAAAAGCCCTCATTTTTTTAAGGGATAAGAATACACTTCTTTACCCTATTTTCTTGTACAGCTTGAATAACTTCATCCATATTGAATTCCTTTTCTACAACTTTGAATTCTCCCTGTAAGAAAAGAAAGGCAGTGAGAAAAGTTATAAGCAAAATAAGCGCGTAGTTTGTTGTTTTCCTTTAGCGCACAAACGTTTATTCACGACTTTGGAGAAAAAAATTAGTTGATATGACATTTCTTTTAGTTTACTTGAAGTGTATTAGAGTGATTAGTGTATAGGATGATCACAACAAAAGTAGGACTGTGTAATGTGATTAAGTTAAAAGCACTTCCAAATTGCAAAACCTGAGGGTGTAAATAGCCCGCACGCAGGCCGTCCTTGTTAGCGCTTCGTCTCGAGCGTTTTTTCGCTCGCGGGAAAGTATACGAACCCACGAGCAACGCGAACCAGCGAGAGGTCTGGAACAGGATGTTTAGCACAGATTATTGTTTTAGACCCCTAGCATACCTCTCCCCGACTCGTCTAAGTCTCCCCATGGGCGGAGAAAAGCACGTCTTGCTCTGGCCTTCTCGCAAGCTGGAGTGTTACCAGCGTTCAACCTCAAATCAATACCCTGTTTCAGAACAACAGGACGTCACTCAATAACTTTGTCGCCACTCATTCAACCTAAAGAAGGGACCACCCACCCCGTACCCACTGTGGGAACATCCGCTCCTTGGACATCGGGCACTTACCCAGCTTTTGGCCAGTTCTAGCAACGATTTCCGCGTAATTCCAGGAAGAATTAAACCATTGAGTGGTGGAGTGATCAGTTCCTGTTCTGAATTCAAAAATGTGAAAACAAATTGGATTTAATTCAACTAAAATAAAAATTGAAAAAGTATTTCTATAGGATGGCTAGAAGCCTGTTCTAACCGTCTCAAAAGTATCACAAGGCTGTGTTCAGCATTTTTCAATCTTGCTATCTGATATTTTAACTGAATGATGTTGAACAAAGTGATCAACATCTAAAATATATCTATGTCCGATCTATCTATAGTGATCCACAAGACACTATAGATACATTTTCTTGCAAATCAGTTGTGAGAATTTAGTCTTAGATCATGATAAAAACTTCTCCCTGATAAGTTTGAGTATTCTCATCTAATATATGGATGTGATAGGGAAAAGTTACATGTTGATCTCTTCTAGGAGTTTATAGGTTAAATCGTGATATTTTAAAATACCTGACAGTCCTTGTTTTATCATTTCATTATTTTATCATCCTATATATTTTTCTCAATTATTTTTGATCACTGCCCTTAGACAGGTTAGTTAAATAATCAGCCATTTTCCACTGACAGAGCCATAATACACGGAGAGAAAATTATTTGCAGTGCAAAACAGTTACATGATACTGCACATAAGCAGACCATTGTCTGTGGGCAGCTATTTGTAATTCATGTGGTGAGCTATTTGCCTATCAGAATGCATCAAATGATAATACATCCTAATATGCTTACCTCCATCCTCATTAATCCAAAACATAAATATATTCATGGTTCCAACCTCTGTGATCTGTGAGAAAAAAATATGTGAACCCTTAATACTTAAAACTAACAGTGGTGCAAGCAGAATCAGAGTCAGCTGATTAATTTTCTTCCTCTACTCAGAATATTCTTTTATTTAAACTTTTCTGACCTGCCGTTCTTCACCATACAACCACAGAACCTGTTGTAGGCCTTGCATTTCTGCATCTCTTTGAGCAAGTATGGTGGGACCGTAATTTCTGTCATGAAAATGAACAAAACATAAATATGCCTATTGTATTTTCTAAAACTTTTCTTCAGGAGTCATCCTTAGAAAGGCAATCTGTTATTTTGCACAGAAGGGCATGAACCCAACTCACCAAGAACCAAATATCATTTGAAGCAAAACAAAGCTAAATGATATTACCCCTGAACCGACCATTATTTATGAAAGTCATTTGCAGGTCGCATGGCATGCTCTTGTTCAATGAGAACTCCAACGTGTCAGTAATACCATTAGTTTCCCTGCCATATTTTTTTCCAAGCAAATTCTGTGATACATACCCCCCCATCTTACAGTCTCCAACACCTCCTGGCCAGGCTCTGACAAAAGAAGGATCAGCTAGCAGTGCAACAGGACTGAATGTTCCTGTCTTGAAGTATGGTCCAACAGGAGACAAGATAACATACAGCAGGGCAGAGGATGACTTGTTTACACCAAGGGTGGGCTTAAGATTAAAAGTTAGGATGGAAGAAAGATAAGAAATCTTGCCACTTTACAAACAAGCTACAAGAAAAAGTTTTATTTAGGTGACCAACTAGCACATTCTAATAGGCTGATGACTTATAAAGAAGGCAGTGGTTTCCATCAACAAATACTTGATAAAAAACACCAAAAAAAAAAAAAATACATTTCATGAATGTTGAGTTTACAGCAGCTGGTAACTGCTGGTATGCTCACCATTCTATATGGCTTCACATTTTTTGTAAAGGGTTAAAACCCTTTACAACTTAAAATCAACATGTATATTCTCCATACACCAAATGCAAATATGGCATCCAATTTGAGTTGCCATTGTTCTGGACTGACTAGCTTCTCACACATGTAATAATCCTTTTGTATTTCCACGTGAAGATGAGGCTAGTCAGTCCAGAACAATGGCAATTCAAATTGGACACCATATTTGCATTTTCTGTGTAAAGTTCTCTATACATTTCCTGAGGTACTAACAAGGAGAAATTGTTTAACGATTAAGAGCTTCTTCATTTGGCAATCATTTCCTTTATTCTCGTGACCTTAACCCTAAAATCCAGAAGTCAGAGTGACTAAAATCTATTTTCTCCTTGCAATATCATCCCTGAATCACACATAAATGTCATGAGAATTGAGGAAATAATCACCAATTAAAGAAGCTTTAGATTGTTAAACAAATTCTCCTTGTCAGCACCTTAGGAGATGCACAGAGAACAGTATGGAGAATATGCATACTGATGTCAGGGAGTAAGGGGTTAATGTTTAATCTGGGGTGATATCGTATTGGGGTGATATCTTATTTATAATTTTCAAATACTAGTATGGAACCATCTCACCTGTGTGGCTATAAGAGTTGGTCTAACATACAAGGAACACTTGTTTGAATATGGAACCCATTCTCTTTCGATGCTTATTAGATGTTTTATGCACTTGACAAGTTCTTCACCATCAAAACCCTGCAATGAGAAGCAACCCAACAGTTCTAAAGTAGGCAATTTAGGTTTCACCAGCTGAGTTGATAATAGAAGTAAATTGGCCACCCTAAAGAGTTTCAAAGCTGATGTTTTGAAAGTTAGCCCTGCATCATTTGCTCTGACAAAGGGCTGTTACACTCAAAATGTCAGCTTTGAAACGCTTTTTGGTGGCCAACTTACATTTATCAACTCAGTTGATAAAACCTTTATTACCTTGTTATTCCTGCTGATGCAGCACCACTGACAGTTGCTTTAAAAGAAACTTACCCCTCAATTCTAAAGTAGAATAACTTTCACTTCACATTTTCTGATATAATTAAAGCAACTACATTCAAGTTTGTCCATGATGAACATTACAAGCCAAGATTTCACAAATTGAACTTGAGTTCACATATTGAAGTCCCCATCAGTCCTCTCTCCATCATTTATCATCTCAATCCAGGGGAAAGGGGAGGGGAGGGGAGGAGGGGTTTCAAACTATGATTCAAATCACAAAGTAAATGTTTTCAACTCTTATGCCTTAATAAGTCAAGAAATAATCAAGATAATTGGATTTGAATATTTCATATTGAATAGTCATCCAGTCCTTGCAAGAATTTTGAAGTCAGACAAAACTACAGGTCTTATGGGGGGTCTGGACTCCATAGCTTTT